GTATATCGGGTTGATATTGTAGTCCACTCTAAATTAGGAAACCTTGTTGGAGCAAAAAGTCTATATGAAATTAACCGTTATTGTGATGCCTTTATTTTGCTAAGATGCAATTATCTCTCCCTATCTTAAGCGGCCTAGAGTGACCCAAGTTCTTACTCAAGAACTTCCGCCATGCGCAAACTGCCGGGCCTCATTTAAAAATGTATCATGTTTGTCTTGAAAGTGGTTGTTCATTTGAGGATGAATATTTAATAATATCCATATTTTTCCTTCAGCCCTTTTCGCTCATTCTTCTGTACATACCTTAATGTATAAAGTATATCATAAGGATGATTAATAAATATCGTTTTTATTTCAAAACTGTTATACAATTTTCTCCTTATTTCCAGGATCTTCCTGTCTATCTATTCAATCAGTCTCTAACAGCAACTATTCAAATTCCGCTACCTTGATTCCCAGTAATCCAGATTATCAGAAACTCCGCCCAAATGAAACCAGTCTTCTCAATGCAGCAGATAGGAATGTCCCTGAGCAAGAACCCGTTGGGCAACCAAGCGAGTCAGGATGTGATTCCATTCTAGGGCCAATTCTTAATGAAATCCCTCGGCCAAAGAGATCTTCTCCAGTTAAACTTACTACTACACTGGCTTCTTTGCCCTCCTCTCCTCCTTTCTCTCTACCAGCGCAAACATCCTCGATACCACTAATTCCTCTTACTCCTTCTCCCCATGCCCCTCTCCCTCCCCCTCCTTCGCCTCCTCCTCCTCCTCCTCTTCCGCCTCCGCCTCCGCCTCCGCCTCCTCCCCCATCTTCTGTTGCAGCACCCTATCTACTTCCTCACTCCAACCTTCATCCTCCCCCACCTCCACCTAGGCCAATCCACGTATCTGCAACAGGTTCGCCTCCACTTACACGCTTCCCCTCCAATTCCCAGATTCCTTCGCTTGAAGCTGCCGGTGTGGAATTCTCTATCTCTACACGGTCTCCTGAATCAAGCCCACCTCTGCCAGTTTCTATGACTAGTCCGGTGCTGCCGCTGGCCTATTCGAGCCCAGATTCCAGCGTCCCTGCTCATCAGGTTTCTGATTTAGGAATCGAGCCTCGAAACAATGAGACAGCATCTGATTTTTTTTCAGGTACCTCGACATTTCGTCGTCGAAAGCCTCAGGCTTTGGTAGCTGATCTTTCTTCAGCCCAGCCGTGCGTATCAATGCAGTTCAGTGAAGGCGAAATCCAAAGCGGAGTCAATATTGTGAGCACCATGCAACAGCAATTCCACCCAAAGCAATCACAACCAGATCCGCCGTCATTCACGCCTAGCTTGCATCGACGCTGTATTGGGCAGGTAAGTCGATATTCCTGCAGAAAATTCCCAGACTCCTCATTACTCCATGTCATCCTTTTGCTCCAGACACATTGTCCATATTTAGACTTATCTTTCATGACGCTTAATTTTTAATAAGGATACTACAATAGTATTATCCTCGTAAGCTCCGAATAAAGTCAACTCTATAGTTAGTTAGGATTTAATAAAATGGATTATTATTATTAATTCACTATACAACTCAAGAAAAAAATCTGTCTATCAAAACATGATGACTTAATGTGGAAATTATTTCCAGCTATTTTAAAAATGAATTAGCATATCTTCCCACTTTCATTGACGAATCCACTAGATACTGATTAGTAGAAATTCATTGCTAGGATCATTAGGATTCATGGTAGGACTGCGTTCTAATCAATAGCTCATTTACGAGCGTAGCATAATTTCAGTGTTAGAACCTCTGACTCCACACAACTTTTTAAAAGTAGCCTGTTCTATCTTGGTGTGGTGCTAAGAATTGCATTATTCACTAATGACCGACTATGATCCCGGCGAAACGTCTTAGTATGTACCAATTCCACGGTTTGACGCTGGAAATGATCATGGATACTATGACAAAGGAATCCGGACAAGATGCGTTCATCTAGCTTTCTCTGACAATACGACCAAATTGTGATAATGGGGTCAAACCATCTGTAAACCCAAAACTCTAATTTCTGTCGTTGCTGGGCTAAAAATAACATCCAAAATAAAGCAAGCAATTTTTCCTTTCAACTAAAGCTATTATTCGAAGATATGAAGACCAAGATGGTGTGGTCTTTTGTGTGGTCGCAGTCTCCTTTCGTTCTATAGAAGTTGTTTGACCTTGTTTTCGCAACTCGGTCATATTGGTAGGAAGACTTAGAGGAAGACACCTTGTCCGGAGTCTATTGTATGCATAATCATTTCCAAAGTTGGACCGTGGATGTGGTACATTCCCAGGCGTTTCGCCGGCATCGTAGTCGGCATCGTCAGTCAGTTCTGCCATTCGTAGCACCATATTAAAACTCGTCAAAGAAACAAGCGAAGCCGATCCTTTGACCAAACATGTGCAAAACAATTATGCTATCTCTCCTTCTGCCCTGGCCTATTTACATTTCCTATATCCACTTATCACGCCTTCACTGTCACAATTTTTTCTTGCTTAATTAAATGTGGTCGGGTGTGCCCTTTTGAGCGGCTTTCAGGAGAACCTATGAAGGATTGCGTAACAATATGGCAGACTTTGATCAACGTTCCCAGCACAAGGATGAATGGGGGTGAGAAGGCCAGCGTGGAGTGCGGAGGGTTCTCATGAAAGCCGCTCAACAGGGCACACCCTACCACATTTAAATAAGCAAATAAAAAATTGTGACAGTGAAGGCGTAATTAATGGATTTAGGAAATGTGAATAGGCCAGGGCAGAAAGGAAGATAGCATAACTGTTTAGCTCACGTTTCGTCAAAGGATCGACTTCACTTCTCTCTGACGAATTTTAATATGGTGCTACGAATGGCAGAACTCACTGACGATGCTCAGCTCAGCCGGCGAAACGCCTGGGAATGTACCACGTCCACGGTCCAACTTTGGAAATGATTATGCGTAGAATGGTCTCCGGACAAGTTGCGTTCCTCTAAGTCTTCTTACCAAATATGACCAAGTTGCGAAAACAAGGTCAAACAACTTCTAAAGCTATTATTGCTTGAACGAAAGCCACCTATTCTATAGTCGTTTCATTTTTTCGTTTTAAAATTTTGAATTATCTTTCCTAAGCCCAATAAACTTACTTAAGCAGGAATCATCACTTCCTGTGACTGTGCATGGGTCATATCATTATCGAGACAAACAATATTGCTTGAATAAGAACTCTTAGTTACTTGGAAAAGTAATATTAACTAATAAATTATCCTGCTAGTATGTAGTTCGAATCCATCTTAATCCCAAAATTAATCTTGAGTCAGTCAAACTTCTGAATAAAATATCATTTTATATCCGAAAAATAGCTTAATATCTCGGTTTTTGCATCCGGTTCTGCTGATATTTTACTAACTTGCTTTTTTTATCTGAATTTTGATCTGCTAACTAGTAACGCTAGCCATAACTACTTTATGAAGTCATTAGGAATTCCTAGGTCAGTACGTTCTTTTTACGCACCTGTAATAACTCTGTTAATGCTTATTAATATATCTACTTCACAAAAACTTGCTAATTCACCTTTTATAAATTTTATTTATTCTCTATTAGAAAAATAAATAAAGCCAATATGTTTATTTCATATGTCCAAACAAAATATATTCACTTTTAATCTACGCGTTATATACATATTTATTATCTTATTGGCATATTATGAGGCGAGGCCAGTAATCTTGATATATTGTACCTTCAGATTATCGGCCGTGACTGCCTCATCTCAACGTCTGACGGTGGATATGGTGATATATACAATTATTTGAAAATGGAGAAGTGTCCCGTCTCACAATTGTACTCTCATCCCCCCACCCCTCAAGTGCCCCATCTTTCGGAGAATTCGGGCCCAATCAACGCCACGATACGCTCAGCTCAACTAAACAGCCACCCTCGGCAACATAACGAAACAGTGCCCCTAGTGACTGCAGTGATCCCTCCTCGTCGGTCGAGTAGCGTCAGTCGGGAACTTCTTGGTTCTACCACCTACCATCCGCAAAATCAACAGCAGAACAATCAGCAATCTCGTCTTCCTAACCAACATAGGCAACAAAACAGAAATAATCAGCATGAGCAGTCTCAACATTCTTCCTCAAACTCGTACGCCGAACACTTTACAGTTTGTCCCGGTCAACTTAGCTTTACTGATCTGCAATCAAATTGTATGCCCAACAATAGCATACATTCAACAAGGGTCACACAGGGAATGTCCCATAGCCAGGCTAAGTTGGGTCGCAAGTTTGGGGGCGTCAAACTGTTGCCGGACGCAGCCAGCAACGAGTTGGCGGCAACTGCTGCTGCCATCCGTACTAGTACAGGGGGGGGTGTTGGCAACAGCTTAATCCGCTCAGGGCCAGGTGCTCGAGATGGAGTGCTTGCTTGGCGACAGATGAGTTGTGAACCCCCAGACCGCAGGATGCCTGAAGGTGAGCTCACAGAATTTATTGGCTAACACATTTTTCGTATGTAAGTAGTTTCGAGTAACTAAGTCGATTGTTATAGCAAAAATACGTTTGCTTCATCAACAATCCCTGGCCTGGCCTTCCTTGAAGTTAACATCTGTTCTGTGACCCAAGAGCACTTGTGGCAATGTGGTCAATTAGTTAACGTGTTAAGCTAAAATTCTGCACTGTCACGATTCGACTCCCCCTGGGGCTGTTGATAAGACCGATGCGAGGTCGAAACTGCAGTCCACCTTGGATGAGAACAACTTTTGAGAAGGCAAGGCTATGTGAAATTGAATGGAAACTTCAACTCTACTCATTGTGGGAAAATTCTACTACTAGTCCTTAATCATCTTAAACGAAATAGGGTAAATACATCTCATAAAACACACATTTGCTTATCGATACAAAAGTCTCAATGAAGAGATCTTCTTTGCCCTTATACTTGAATCGGCTACAGTTTTGGTAATCTTTAAAGTTAGATTTCAGACAAATTATCCAGATTGACAATCCCATTCTATGCAAAAATGTCCACATCCGCTTTCATACACCCTCGAATAAATGGCCACCATTTATTATTTTTACAACAATTTCCCTCGATTTGAAAGGAGTTGGCTGACAGTAGGTTTTATCAGAGACGTGGTCCATGTAGCAAAGGCTTGACCATGAGAATTAGACAGAAGCCTTAGCCTCAAGTTAGTCTCCCAAGCTCAGTGTGGAAAACAACGCCTTGAGTAGTACAGATGGGGTGGCAGGGGTCGAGTGAAATAATTGAACCAGGTGGATAGCAGACGGATCCTACGGGGCAAGAGGGAGACTCTGATAAGGCATATGGAAGGAGGACTGCGTAACACTATGGCAGACTGATCAACATTCCCAGCACAAGAGTGAAGGGGGATGAGAACGCCAGCATGTAGTATGGAGGGTTCTCATGAACGCCGGTCAAAAGGGCACACCACACTACATTTAAATAAGCACTTTAAAAAATTGCAACAGGGAAGGTGTGATAAGAGGAGATAGGAAATGTGATTAGCCCAGGGCAGAAGGAGAGATGCTACAACTGTTTAACACACGTTTGGTCAAATGATCGGCTTTACTTATCTCTTTGACCAATAATGTTGTTATTATGCTGTGAGTATAATTAACATAATCGGTTGTAATGACATCATACAAATTTGATACGGGAAAGTCTTGGCTTGCCTTTAAATTTCCGTCTACGCTGTGACTCATTAGCATCCGTTTCAGTGTGATGTGATGGTAACATATTTACATTACTCGGGCTCAATTTCTAGTTCGGTCGGGATGAGAATACGTCTGGGAAACAGACCTAAATTAAATTAAATTGCCTGATAAGGCTTAAACATATCTTTATGGGAAAATTCAAATATCAGTCTTACCTATGCTTACTAGAACTCTTATTCAGGATCTTGAAAACTACTTACTATGAATATGCTTATACAGACTAAGTGAGCATTGGATTAATACCTATCGCTACCATATTTCCCTTAGTTAAGCCAAAACTGGTATCTTCAGGATTGTGCTAGGCAAACTTCTTTAAGGCTCCCTTAGAGATCTAATCAAT